GAATTGTTCAACTGACAGTAGTTGATATAGAGTCTCATTGATTCGCGTATGAACAAAATAGGTATTCTCCCAAGGAGGAAACACTTGATCAGGTGATTCTTTGTCAGGAAGTCATTGATGGAAACACGATCAATACAGAGTTACGAATATTGGTCCTTTCTAGGATCAAGATTGACAGAGAATTCAATTTCTCGGAACGGTGAAATATTAGGAAATTCATATCAGAGAGGTGACATACTTTCGATACGTTACTTCAGTTCAGATGTTTCTTTTTGCGTAGACTTCACACTTCTTCTATTTGAGATGTTTTCGTATATATATTTTCGAGATGAATTCGGTTGGTTTAGATATCAGATTTTCTTTCACCTCTATGAGTTTACCATCATCGGTCTTTAGTTGAGGATTTCTTCATCACAAGTTGTTAACAGCAACGGCGTTCAGTCAGTCAATTCATACTAAGGATAATGTCAATTTCCTTGTATGGTATTTCAACGATGTTTTACAAGGAATTATCGCTTAAAGAATGATTTCGATTTATGTGATATAACCACATATTTGCGTCGTAATGAATTAGAAATCAGAATGGAATACTTCAGATAACAGAGTTTATTAATTCTAAACGTTCGTGTTTGAATCAGCGATCAGATCGTCTTGAGTCAGGATCTTTGACCTCAACTTCTCAGATGTTGTTCGTAAAATCAATATTAATCGTTTCTTCAAAGTCGTCTTACTTCTACGAGACGTTCCGGTATAGATCAATTTCCATGACGACTAGTGCGATCATGTTATATTAATAATTGTGAGAAAGAATATATTATATTACATGTTGATAACATATGTAAGAGTTCGTAAAAAAAACATAGTCACAGCGTAAAATCTCAACCACTGGAGTTGGAATTAACACGCTAGTAGTTGGTTCGTATAATGAATGTAGATATTAACTTAGCTTCCCAGTGCCAACTTGAGGGATGGATTACTCACAATTATCCTCAAAGTTGATTTTGATTAATTTCGGGGCAAATTGGTTGTGCTGAGACTCTCAAAAGATAATTAGCTTTCTCAAAATTATAGCATCACAGCACGAAAAACTTATTAATGCTTAATGCTGAAATACAAGGTGGCTCTATAGCATGAGGTGAATCACACAATGTAAATATTCTAGAAGAGAATAACAAGATATGTACTAATTCACCAATTTTATATATCGAAAAAAACCTTATAAATTATAAGCTACTTAATGAACTTACGCAGCTAATAATAAACATCATATTGAGTAGTGGTTCACAAGAAAGAATTTTTGAATAAGATAGTTTTGCAGGTAGTTACCATATATTAAAAAAAGTAATTACCATATATTTAGACTATGTGAGAGATTACTATCTAATAAGTTATCTTAAGAAAAATATATATATAATATATAAGTGAAGTGGGCCGACATTAGATTAAATTTGATGAAAGTAGCTTCTAAAGGTTACTTTTAAGAATTTAAAAGTTTTGACAATTATGATGCTTTTAATGAGATTAATTTTCTAACAACTTATTAATTGATACAAAAACAAATTGTGTATATGAATCAATAAACAAGGGTTGCTCGAAAAAAAAAATTGCAAAGGGATGACTCTGCAAAAAAAACTATATAAAGTACCTCAAGATTAGTTTCAGGTAAGCTTGAAATTAAATATGTTCAATCCATGCGAGAAAAGGGTATATTGTAGCACTAAGGTAAGATGTGAAATTGGGGGCCTAGTGGCATCATTAAAAAAACTTTATCTAGTATTCAATTGTATCGCAGAATACTGAAATGACAACCATATTCAGAAGAGGCTGCAAACTCGGACGAGTGAGGGTGTTTTATTTCGGTGTCAGGCGAGGATGACAATATGAGGTAATGGGTAACAAAATAAAAAAACAATACGTTTCCTCTTTACAAAAGGGGGTTAAGAAATAAAATTTGTAAAGTGTTATCTTATTCAAGGTATATTGTTACTTTCAGAAAAAAAATTATTTTAAGATTGGGTGTTAATCTTTTAGATAAGCGGTGTAGTGATTAAGTCACTTAAACATTTTCACTAGAGAACTTTTGATAAATGATTACAACGGACATTTTGCACACACAAAAAAAAAGAATAAAATATGTGTCGTATCCAAAAAAAGTGAAACGTAATGCTGTGAAGTATAGTCTAGGATTTAGTTTTAATTATGTAAGAAATCATAATTTTAATTTTTGTTTAAATTAAATATTAAAAAACAACAAAAATGTCAGTGCTAAAATTAATTGATTTTCAAAGTTAAATTTGGTGGGAAAAATTCATATTCAAATTGAAAGTCCTAACAAAATGAGCTCAATGGTGTATTCTGCGTGCGAATCTGAGTTATGGAAGTTAGGGAATTGCTGTCTCAAGACCGAGAAGATTTTAAAGTTAACGACTAAAATGCGAGGGGATGTGGAAATAAAGTTAACTCACGAATCCTGGATCGTTGGGTAGGTCTCGCAAAAAGAGTGACCCGTGACACATCGTTGGTCGAATTGGGAATTATTTTTTTAAAAGTTGTCATCAAAATAAATGTTATACTTCAGTAATTTTATAATAGAACCTTTAATAACAAAATAAGAAATTCCCACCCGTAAATGCAAAACCACCATGGAAAGATACTTTCCAAGTCAAAGGTCCATTTACCAGATTTCTACTAATTTAGTTAGCACTCTTCGTCGTATCATCTTCTCCTCGTTTCTTCGTTTCTTTGTATTCTCCAGATATTCTACATCAATTAAATTGGGAGCATCTTCGTCATACAATCGGGTATTAATAAGATTTACCATGTCCTGTAAGGATATTATTGTGTCCCGTTGTGAATGGAGAGATCTTTGAGTCCATAATACGGTTTTGACTTGTCAGCAACTCAAGGCCGAGCATTGAGTACCGTCTAAAATGTTACATCTGCCTTCTATCCTCGAGTGAAATGGGTGAATCACGATAGATTTTGTAATTTGCTTACCCTTACAACGATGTATGGGTCATTGTGGATCGTCTTACAAAATCTGCACACTTTCTACCTGTTCGACGGGGTATGTCGCTTCAGAAGTTAGCTGAATTGTGTCTTCGCAAGATTGTTCGATTGCATGGAGTGCCAGTATCTATTATCTGCGATAGGGGTCCCTGTTTCATTTCAAGGTTTAAGAAGTACTTCAACAAGCTTTGGGTACCAAGCTAAATGTGAGAACTATCTTCCACTTGTTAGCCTTGGTTTGCTAAGCCTCATGTTTTGATGTTAACAAACAATATAAGAGCTTGACGTTTTTTTAAGTGTTTCAGGTACAACAAGAATCCATTAAGATTCGGTTCTCAAGAATGAAGTCGAAACACTAAACTAGCGTAGAATTTAGGTAGAAACCGATGTAAGGATATGATTTTATATACCTATATTCAAAAGCTCAAAAACACTCATAAAATATGTTTAAAACCCTTTTATAATCATTTTCAAACATCCAAAAGGTTTTAAACAAAATTGGAAATGATCTGGACAAAAATGAAAAAATTGTGAAAATGGTCATAAGGTACCTAGGTACCGTGAGGGGTAGTGCAAGGGGTACCGTGAGTTAATCTGAGACAGGACCCCCCTACCGTATGGACGGACCCCCCTACCGTATGGACGGGACCCCCCTACCATGTATAGGTACCGTGTATAGATACTGCCAAAGAGTTTTGGCCTGAGAAGGTACCTAGCTACCATACGGGACCTAGCTACCGTGACAGGGTACCGTTACCGTTGGAACACTATTCCTGATTGCTGATTTTTGAATTAATTCAATTCTAATCACCTCCTAACGGCTAATTAACATATTTCACTATAAATATAGGCCTAATACTTTATATTTCAACAAGAAACAAAGCTCTAAGCATCCTCTCTTCTTATTCTAAGTGTGTTCATCCTTTTATTAATTATTTTCAATATTTTGGCTATTTGAAGTGCCTTAAATTCCTGAATTTTATACACACACTTTGAGCTTGTGTTTCTAGTTATATACTCTCATATTAATTCATAAGTTTGATTTGTATTTTTGAGAGAGTATACTTTCCTTCTACACCGGCTAAGTTTTGTTCTTCATTTTTATATTCTAGCCGTTGTATAGAACCTTTGTTTGTGTTCTTCAAACAACCTTCTTACGGTCGAGAATAGCCGTTAAATTCTCACGTTGTAACGGTTAAGGGTAGCTGTATAAATCATTGGGTAGAGGTTCAAGGATAGCCTTTGAAATCCTTGGGGGAACGGTAGAAGATAGTTGTTAAATCTTCATTGTAAACGGTTCGAGATAGTCGTGGTAAACTCATAGAATTTAGGTAGAAACCGATGTAAGGATATGATTTTATATACCTATATTCAAAAGCTCAACCACAAAATATGATTAAAACCCTTTTATAATCATTTTCAAACATCCAAAAGGTTTTAAACAAAATTGGAAATGATTTAGACAAAAATGAAAAAATTGTCAAAATGGTCATAAGGTACCTAGGTACCGTGAGGGGTACTGTAAGGGGTACTGTGAGTTAATCTGAGACAACACCCCCCTACCGTATGGACGGGACCCCCCTATCGTATGGACGGGACCCCCCTACCATGTATAGGTACCGTGTATAGGTACCGCCAGAGAGTTTTGGATTGAGAAGGTACCTAGCTATCGTACAGGACCTAGCTACCGTGACAGGGTACCGTTACCGTTGGAACACTATTCTTGTAACACCCGCCTTCCGTGGACCCGGTTCACCCGCGACTCGACGGACCGGTAGGGTTACATGGACAGTCCGAGAACCGTCCGTTACAAAAACATTAATGATTATTTAATAAGAAAACGGTTGGGTTTTAATTAGAGAAATAAATGCCAGGGAGTTACTCCCAAAACGTGTGTAATAAAAGTGCAGAGTAATTGCGGAAGTAAAAAAATAAGTCCAGTCCAAATTAAATAACGACAAGGGTGGGTTCATGCCCAAATAATTCATCAAGTAATTAATAGTAATATGAGTTCGTCCGAGCGCCGCCCATCTCCCCATCGTCACTGCTCTCCAGGGTTGGCAACAGCTCTGTCATGTCTACCTGCGCGTAGCAAAAACAACTACACGCTTAGCAAAAGCTGAGGAGTGAATCTAACAAAAGAACATTTAATGATAACCCATATGGCTATACAAATATTAATACCTGTACTTAACGTACGGGAAACCACATTTTACTAACTGTTTAGTTTCCACCTGCTAGGGCTATTCCAACACACAAAGTGATAGGAGCATACATGATGATGAAATGACTTGATGCATGACTTAAACTATCAGGGACACCCCTGGCTTAGTCTCACTCGACAGGATCCCCCCTGCACTCCGGTCATCGTCCCTGTACGCTAACGAGCCGGGCACGACAAAGATGTCGCGAGTGGACTAGCAAAAACCGGGTAGTAGCCGTAACTTGACTACTATGTACGTACACAAGCCCGTCATGATGAAAACCCGTTGGTCCCCGAGGGTTCCTGGACGGGCCCACTATAGTAGGCGCACGGAAGCCCGACCTCCCTACAGCGGTATGCACATGATGATGAACCTAGGACATACGTCTAGAATGAACATGATAAAATGAATGTATTGATTGAAGAAGGAAGTTAAATTCAACGCATACACATGTGTTTGATGACAATCATAATGGCCTTAGGTTCAGAACTGGCCGATAATTGATTGTCTACTGTTGATAATCGATTATCATGATGTGCAGCTTCTGTCCCCAAAGTCCTGCAGACTGTGATAGTCGATTGTCACCCCATGACAATCGATTGTCAAGTTGGTTTGTTCGGGATGTCCTAAGTTCAGAGAGGTCTGATAATCGATTATTGCTTATGTCATAATCAATTATCAGTGAAGCCAACTCAAACCCAAGAATCCGCAGGGCCTGATAGTCGATTATCACATATGTGATAATCGATTATCACGATGTGCTGAAACAACTGGGGAGTCCAGCGTGGCCTGATAGTCGATTGTACTATCCTGTAACTCGATTATCAAGACACGCGGATTTCCATTTTATCTGTTTGTTTGTCATCAAAACGTTAGAAGTTTTCGGAATGAATGTTTACATTTCCAAGTTAAATAATCGATGAACTTACAGAGTTTCAAAACATTATATCAACGAATACATAATCGAGAGTTCCAATAACGAAGAGTCATGATAACGTGGACACACGTATGTTTAGCTCGGTATCCTATGAACATAACGATACAGATTATAACTAAATGTTCTAGAATTAGAGGGGACAACTACTCACCTCTAAACGAAGGGGTTGATGGAACGAGATGAACGAACGGTGCTAACGAACGGACGAACGATGACTACGCTTCGCACGAACGGCCTAGCTCTTCTTCTCCTTCAACCTTGCACCCACCGGAGCTTCGCCGGATGTCCCCCTTGACTGCTGTACTGGCTGAAAAAAGGGAGAGGGAGAGAAGATGAATGGTGGTGATGGAGCTTAATGATTGAATTAACAAATGGGAGTTACAAAAATGGTGAAGGGGAAAATGATTTGAAGGGGAGTTTTAAAATGCAAAAGTTGATGGTGAGTGATGAGGGAATTGATGGAGAGTTAAGGGGGATGCATGGGGTGGCGTATGAATTGAAATGGGGGGTTCCACATATATTAATTTTGCTCCGTTATATAAAATCTGACCTGAACGATAAGCGCTTTTTCCCCCGAACAGGTCCGAATTGAGATCCGTTTGCATTTTTAGAATCAGACAGTCAAATCGAATTTAATGATGTCAGCAAATAATTTTTTTCTAGGAACTTTTAATTTCCCCAACTCCGGTCCGAAACAGTAATTAATTAATTAAATTAATCGATTCTATTAGACCAGGTTGAAGGGCATTACAATTATCCACCCCTTAAAAAAAATTTGTCCTCGAAATTTACCTGATCACTGGTCATTGAAAAGATGTGGATAACGAGTGCGCATGGATTCCTCGGTTTCCCATGTCGCCTCCTTGACGGTTTGACTTCTCCACAGAACCTTGACCAGTGGAATGGTTTTGTTCCTCAACTGACGGACTTCGCGAGCCAGAATCTCAACCGGCTCCTCCTCGTATGTAAGATTCTCATCAAGTGTGACCGTATCAGCTGGAATCACATGAGAAGGGTCCGACCAGTACCTCTAGAGCATGGACACGTGGAATACATCGTGGATCTTGCTCAACTCCGATGGTAACTCGAGCCTGTAAGCTACAGGTCCCACCCGTTCAGTGACTGGGTATGGGCCTATAAAACTCGGACTCAATTTTCCCTTCTTTCCGAAATGTAAGACACTCTTCCATGGGGACACCTTCAAGAAAACCTTATCCCCGACTGCATACTCGATGTTGCGCCTCTTAAGGTCGGCGTAGGACTTCTGTCAGTCCGAAGCCGCCCTAAGTCGATCTTTAATCACCTGGACCTTCCCCGCGGTCTCACGAACAAGATAAGGCCCTTCCAGCCTCCTCTCACTGAGCTCTGTCCAACAAGTAGGGGTACGACAGGGTCTACCGTACAGAACCTCATATGGTGCCATACCGATGCTAGTCTGGTGATTGTTGTTGTATGCAAACTCCATGAGTGGCAGGTATCGCTCCCAACCATCCTCGAAGTCGATTGCACACGCACGCATCATGTCCTCAAGAATCTGAATCACCCTTTCCAACTGACCGTCTGTCTGAGGGTGGAACGCCGTACTGAAGTGGAGATCAGAGCCCAATGCCCTCTGTAGGCTCTTCCAAAACTTTGATGTAAATCGAGGGTCACGATCCGAAATGATAGATGATGGAACTCCATGTAGCCTGATGATCTCGCGGATGTACAACTCCGCTAAATGCTGAAGTGAGAAGTCACGACGAATGGGAAGAAAATGGGCTGATTTGGTCAACTGGTCAACGATGACCCAAACCGTGTCGTGCTTACGTGGTGACAATGGCAGTCCCACAACGAAATCCATCGTGATGCGATCCCACTTCCACTTGGGAATGGTGATCTGCTGAAGCAATCCCGAAGCAACATGGTGCTCGGCCTTGATCTGCTGACAAGTCAAGCACCGTGATGTGAACTCCTTGATCTCCTGCTTCATCGCGGGCCACCAGTAATGTCTCCTAAGATCCTGAAACATCTTGTTACTGCCCGGGTGCATGGTATACAAGTGTTGTGTGCTTCACGAAGCAGGCGTTCTCTCACCTCCCCCGCTAGCACAACCATACGCTCCCGATAGTACAAGATACCCTCACGAACTGCGAAATCTGGCTTCTCTCCTCGGGAGACGAGCTCAACGGTATGGATACAGAAATCATCGCTGCTCTGGGCTGATGCTATCTGATGCTGTAATGTAGGCTGGACGTGTAACACAGCTAGAGTCTTCCGACTAAGGGCATCGGCTACCACATTCGCCTTACCTGGGTGGTAAGCGATGTGAAAATCGTAGTCCTTAATCAACTCTAACCATCTCCTCTGTCGGAGGTTCAGATCCTTCTGTGTCAACAAGTACTAAAGACTCTTATGGTCGGTGAAGACACGCGTCGTCTCACTGTAGAGGTAATGCCTCCAGATCTTCAAAGCAAGTACAATAGCTGCTAGCTCAAGGTCGTGCGTCGTATAATTACACTTATGTGGCTTCAACTGCCGAGATGCATAAGCAATGACCTTGCCCTTCTGCATGAGAACACACCCCAAGCTGTTATGGGATGCGTCACTGAAAACCTCTGCTGACAGGCGTCAGTCCAAACGAACTTGACGTCCTTCCTCATCAACTTGTGCAATGGTGACGCTATCTTGGAGAAGTCCTTCACGAACCGGCGATAGTAACCCGCCAGTCCGAGAAAACTCATCACCTCTTGTGCATTACACGGAGTCTTCCACTCCGTGATCGCTGCTATCTTGCACGGATCTACCTTCACACCTTCAGCCGAGATGACATGGCCGAGGAAGGTAACCTCGTGCAGCCAGAATTCGCACTTGGACAGCTTGGCATAAAGCTGTTGTTACCGAAGAATGCTCAAGACAATGCGTAAGTGCCCGGCGTGCTCCTCCTGTGTCTTTGAGTACACCAAGATGTCATCAATGAAGACCACAACAAACTGATCAAGATGCTTCCGGAACACACTGTTCATGAGATCCATGAACACTGCCGGTGCATTAGTCAACCCAAATGGCATGACTGTGAACTCATAATGGCCGTATCTAGTGCGAAAAGCCGTCTTAGGAATGTCTTCCTTCTTGACTGGAATCTGATGGTATCCTGATCGGAGATCGATCTTAGAGAAGACCGTGGCTCCTCTCAGCTAGTCGAACAAATCATCAATGCGTGGTAGCGGATAGCGATTCTTGATAGTGACTTTGTTTAACTGACGGTAATCGATGCACAACCGCATCGATCCGTCCTTCTTGCGGAGGAACAAAACCGGTAATCCCCAAGGGGACACACTGGGACGGATGAAGCCATTATCCAGCAACTCCTGCAGTTGAGCCTTCAGCTCCTTCATCTCCGCAGGCGCCATGCGATAAGGTGTGATTGAGATCGGTCCTGTTCCTGGAACAAGATCAATGGAAAACTCTACCTCCCTAGGGGGTGGTAGACCAGGTAAGTCATCTGGAAACACATCAGAAAAGTCACATACCGTAGGGATGCCCCCCTACTAGGCGCCTCCTGACGAGTGTCACGCACTGTGCACAAGAATGCTTCACACTTCTTGTGTATGAGTTGACGAGCATGAATGTAGGAAATGAATTCTGGAGCTTTCGGAAGAAGCTCTCCACGGACCAGAATGTCGCTACCGTCCTCGGCTCTCAGCCAAACCATATGCCCTCCACAGTCAACAACGGCTTGGTTGGCGGTGAGCCAATCCATGCCTAGAATAACATCAAACTCACGATGTGGAAGCTCAATGAGGCTTGCAGGGAAGGTCTTTCCCTGGACCACTAATAGGCAGTCGTGATACACATGGGTGAGTCGTAGACTGTGTCCCAATGGGTTGGACACAATTACTGGGTTGTCTAAGTCTTCCCTCGGAATGTTAGGCATAACCGGAATAGGCATACAAACATATGATAAAGTGGAACCCGGATCAATCAAGGCTGTAATAGATGTATCGAATAAGGTAAACATACCCATGATGACGTCATGGGCTGGCTGCTCGGTACACCCTCGCATCACGTAAGCGCGCGCTGGGGCCTTCCCCGTCTAAGCGCCAGATGCTTGCCGCTTGGGCTGACTAGATGCTGCCACCAACTTCTGGCTCTGGGCGGGCTGCGCTGCTAGGGCTAAAGCGGTCGGTGCGGTCGAGAATGCCTCACCCGGATTCTTCGGACAATCTCTGCGGAAATGCCCTGTAACACCCGCCTTCTGCGGACCCGGTTCACCCGCGACCCAATGGACCGGTAGGGTTACATGGGCGGTCCGAGAACCGTCCGTAGAGAAAAGCGCATTAATGACTATTTATTATGAAAACGGTTGTGTTTTATTTAGTGAAATAAATGCTAGGGAGTTAACCCCATAACGTGTGTGATATAAATGAAGAGTAAAAGCGCAACTAAATAAATGAGTAAAACGACAAATGGTGGGTTCATGCCCAAATGATTAATTAATTAATGGTATGTTTGGGAACATGGATTTGGATTTCAAATCCGGATTTGGCTCAAATTCCATGTTTGGAAAACTTAAAAATTTTAAATTTGGAATTGAGTCAAATTCTTCTCATTCATAACAAAGCTTAATTTGAAATCCATGCACCTCCCCTTGTCATTTGAAATTCAAGATTTCAAATTTAGAAATTGAAATGCATGAATTGAAATGAAATGCTAGTTGCCAAACACTACCTAAATGTATTTAATTATTGAACTTGTCCATGCGCCGCCCATCTTCCCACCATCACTGTCCTCCAGGGTTAGCACCCGTACCGTCATGTCTACCTGCGTGTAGCAAAGAAAACAACTACACGCTCAGCAAAAGCTAAGGAGTGAATCTAACAAAAGAACATGAAGTGATAACCCATGTGGTCATACACATATAAATACCTGCACTTAACGTACGGAAAACCACATATGTACTAACTAACTATTTTGTACTTGATGGGATATTATTACACATAACAAAATGATATACTACCACATTGAATATGGACATGATGGGGAACATACATGATGATGACAACCACATTGAATGTTGACGTGACATGTAACATACATGATGACGATATGACTTGATGCATGATACCCCTGACTTAGTCTCACTTGGCAGGATCACCCCTGCACTCCGGTAATGAGCCGGGCTCGACAAAACGTCGCAAGTGAACTAGCAAAACTGGGTGCTAGCCGTAGCCTGACTACCATGTACGTACACAAAGCCCACCTGATGAAAACCCGTTGGATCCCAAAGGTTCCTGGACGGGCCCACTGTAGTAGGCACACGAAAGCCTGACCTCCCTATAACGGTATGCACATGATGATGAACCTAGGACATACGTCTAAGATGAACATGATGACATGAATGCATTGATTGAAGGAAGAAGTGAAATTTAACGCATACATATGTGTTTTGACTAAAATTCGTTCAACATAATGGCCTTAGGTTCAGAACTGGCTAATAATCGATTGTCTATTGCTGATAATCGATTATCATGCTGTGCAGCTTCTGTCCCCAAAGTCCTGCAGACTGTGATAGTCAATTGTCACCCTATGAAAGTCGATTGCCAAGTTGGTTTGTTCAAGAAGTCCTAAGTTCAGAGAGCCCTGATAATCGATTATTGCCTATGTGATAATCGATTATCAGTAAGGCCAACTCAGACCCAAGAATCCGCATGGCCTGATAGTCGATTATCACATATGTGATAATCGATTATCACGCTGTGCTGAATCAACTGAAGAGTCCAGCGTGGCCTGATAGTCGATTGTACTATCTTGTGACTCGATTATCAAGGCACGCTGACTTCCATTTTATCTGTTTGTTTGTTATCAAAATGTTGGAAGTTTAGGAACGAATGTTTACATTTCTAAATAGCCGATGAACTTACAAGGTTTCAAAACATTTATATTAACGAGTACATAACTTGATAACATGGACACACGTATGTTTGATGGTTAACCTACGAACATGCATAGATTCTACGTAGGTTGCGCACGATATTCCTATGAATATAACGACATAGATTATAACTAAATGTTCTATAATTAGAGGGGACAACTACTCACCTCTAAATGAAGGGATTGGCGAAACGATGAGACGTGGTGAGCAAATGGTTGACAATGTTGAACAACGAATGGTTTCTCGTGGTCACCTTCTTCTCTTCTTCCTCCTCGTCTACTCGCCGGAATCGTCTCCCTGGCCTGCTACTGCTTCGCCGAACAAGAGAAGGGAGAGAGAGAAAGTGTGAATGCTTTGGGGGTTACATGTGAGTGAAGGAGGTGAAGAGGGGATATTGATAAGGAATAATGAAGAATAATGATGATGAATGAATATGGGAAGAGGGAGGGAGAGTGTGTGTGGCGTGGGAAATGAGGGGAATTAAATGGGGAGTTATCTCCCTAATTTCTACTCCGTTGTATAAAATCTGACCTGAACGGTACACACTTTTTCCCCCCGAATGGGTCCGAATTGAGTTGCATTTGCGTTTTTGGAATCAGACAGTCAAAACGAATTTAATGACATGTTCAAATAATTTTTCTAGGAACTTTATTTTCAAACTTCTGGGTCCACCCCAATCATTACTTAATTTATTTAATTAATGTTAAGAGGTCCATTATTAAAAGATATTTTTATAATAAAATGCATTAGCTTTGGAAAGCCATTTAAAGAGATCGAAATCTCAATACTTATTAATTTAAAATAATGAGTCTCAATAAATAAATAATATTTATTTATTTAAAACTAGGCCGGTTTGTAGGGCGTTACATGCCCGGCCTGGCCACACCCAAGACACAAGCCTAGAGTGTACCAGCATTCTCCTCGATGCCTGCGCCCACAATGGTCGCAGATTGGGTTACGGAACCCATCACCGCTTTTGCCCTTCTTCTGGACAAACGCAGACGACTGGGCTGGGGCTTACTTCACCTTCTTGCTCTGGTGAGAGCTGCTAGGCGCTGCGGAGGACCTCTTGCCACTGGTCCCCGCCTTCTAGGGTGGAGGAGGACGAGTTGGTGCTGTTGACACCCCCTGCGTCTACTCATACTCAGCCTTCTTGGCAAGAGCCGCATTCAAATCCAATGCATTTTTGTATAATGCGTTGATGTCACCCCGAGGAGCAATGATCAGATGAGCCGAAAGATCGAGACGTAAGCCCTCCACAAAGCGTTTGCACCGCTTTTCCATAGTCGGGACGAGGTCCTGCCCAAACCCCGCGAGTTCGTCAAACTTTTGTCGATACTCAGGCAGTGTGTGTTCACCCTGGGTGAATTTCAAGAACTCTTCCCGCTTCGCCTCGACGAAGTGCTCAGGGATGTACTCTTCATGGAAGAGTCGGTCAAATGTGGCCCACTGCACGGGCTCCGGGACGTCTGCTCCCACACGCTTCCACCAGTCGTAGGCGGAATCCTGAAGTAATGCGACTGCGAGGTCGCCACGCTAGTCCTGTGGAACCCTCAGGTTTCTTAACACTCGGATGGTTCGCTCAAATTGCAGCTGGACGATAGAGATGGCTTCCAGTATAGAACCCACGTCCGGGACCGCCTGCTCGGAGGCCTTCTGAGGTGTGAAGCTTGACGCTTCAGTGTGCACGCTCACGTGCTCAGGCTCCCCCTCTGGGACAGCCTGTCCGTCATTGCCAGCTGCTTGACTCATTCTCTATAGGAATAACTTAAATCAGAACTAATTATAATATGACATACATGTGATTTAAATAACGGTGTACCTTTCCCTGGGAGTGATGCGATGGGAGATGCGGCTGTGGACTTTTTAAAATACTTTTTGACCTAAAATGACAAAATATGTTTTTTTCACAAAACCGAACGGCTCTGATACCAAATTGTAACACCCGCCTTCCGTGGACCCAGTTCACCCGCGACCCGACGGACCGGTAGAGTTACATGGACAGTCCGAGAACCGTCCGTTACAAAAACATTAATGATTATTTAATAAGAAAACGATTGGGTTTTAATTAGAGAAATAAATGCCAGGGAGTTACTCCCAAAACGTGTGTAATAAAAGTGCAGAGTAATTGCGGAAGTAAATAAATAAGTCCAGTCCAAATTAAATAACAACAAGGGTGGGTTCATGCCCAAATAATTAATCAAGTAATTAATAGTAATATGAGTTCGTTAGAGCGCCGCCCATCTCCCCATCGTCACTGCTCTCCAGGGTTGGCACCAGCTCCGTCATGTCTAGCTGCGCGTAGAAACATATTAATACCTGTACTTAACGTACGAGAAACCACATTTTACTAACTGTTTAGTTTCCACCTGCTAGGGCTATTCCAACACACAAAGTCATAGGAGCATACATGATGATGAAATGACTTGATGCATGACTTAAACTATCGGGGACACCCATGGCTTAGTCTCACTCGACAGGATCACCCCTGCACTCCGGTCACCGTCCCCGTATGGTAACGAGCCGGGCACGACGGAGATGTCGCGAGTGGACTAGCAAAAACTAGGTAGTAGCCGTAACTTGACTACTATGTACGTACACAAGCCCGACATGATGAAAACCCGTTGGTCCCCGAGGGTTCTTGGACGGGCCCACTATAGTAGGCGCACGGAAGCTTGACCTCCCTACAGTGGTATGCACATGATGATGAACCTAGGACATACGTCTAGAATGAACATGATGAAATGAATGTATTGATTGAAGAAGGAAGTTAAATTCAACGCATACACGTGTTTGATGACAATCATAATGGCCTTAGGTTCAGTACTGGCTGATAATCTATTGTCTACTGTTGATAATCGATTATCATGATGTGCAGCTTCTGTCCCCAAAGTCATGCAGACTATGATAGTCGATTGTCACCCCATGACAATCGATTGTCAAGTTGGTTTGTTCGGGATGTCCTAAGTTCAGAGAGGTCTGATAATCGATTATTGCTTATGTGATAATCGATTATCAATGAAGCCAACTCAAACCCAAGAATCCGCAGGGCCTGATAGTCGATTATCACATATGTGATAATCGATTATCACGCTGTGCTGAAACAACTGGGGAGTCCAGCGTGGCCTGATAGTCGATTGTACTATCCTGTAACTCGATTATCAAGACACGCGGATTTCCATTTTATCTGTTTGTTTGTCATCAAAACGTTGGAAGTTTTAGGAATGAATGTTTACATTTCCATGTTAAATAATCAATGAACTTACAGAATTTAAAACTTTATTATTAACGGATACATAATCGAGAGTTCCAATAACGAAGAGTCATGATAACGTGGACACACGTATGTTTAGCCGGGTATCCTATGAACATAACGATACAGATTATAACTAAATGTTCTAGAATTATAGGGGACAACTACTCACCTCTAAACGAAGGGGTTGATGGAACGAGCTGAACGAACGGTGCTAACGAACGGACGAACGATGACTACGCTTCGCACGAACGGCCTAGCTCTTCTTCTCCTTCAACCTTGCACCCACCGGAGCTTCGCCGGATGTCCCCCTTGACTGCTGTACTGGCCGAACAAAGGGAGAGGGAGAGAAGATGAATGGTGATGATGGAGCTTAATGATTGAATTAACAAATGGGAGTTACAAAAATGGTGAAGGGGAAAATGAATGGAGGGGGAGTTTTAAAATGCAAAAGTTGATGGTGAGTGATGAGGGAATTGATGGAGAGTTAAGGGGGATGCATGGGGTGGCGTATGAACTGAAATGGGGGGTTACACATATATTAAGTTTGCTCCGTTATATAAAATCTGACCTGAACGATACGCGCTTTTCCCCCCGAATGGGTCCGAATTGAGATTTGTTTGCATTTCTGGAATCAAACAGTCAAATCGAATTTAATGATGTGATCAAATAATTTTTCTAGGAACTTTTAATTTCCACAACTTCATTCCGAAACAGTAATTAATTAATTAAATTAATCGATTCTATTAGACCGGGTTGCAGGGCGTTACAATTCCTGATTGCCGATTTTTGAATTAAGTCAACTCTAATCACCTCCTAACGGCTAATTAACATATTCCACTATAAATATAGGCCAAATACTTCATATTTCAACAAGAAACAAAGCTCTAAACATCCTCTCTTCTTATTCTAACTGTGTTCATCCTTTTATTAATTATTTTCAATATTTTGGCTATTTCAAGTGCCTTAAATTCCTGAATTTTATACACACACCTTGAGCTTGTGTTTGTAGTTATATACTCTCATATTCATAAGTTTGAATTGTATTTTTGAGAGAGTATACCTTCCTTCTACACCGGCTAAGTTTTGTTCTTCATTTTTTTATTCTAGCCGTTGTGTAGAACCTTTGTTTGTGTTCTTCAAACACACTTTCTTACGGTCGAGAATAGCCGTTAAATTCTCACGTTGTAACGGTTAAGGATAGCCATATAAATCCTTGGGTAGAGGTTCAAGGATAACCTTTGAAATCCTTGGAGGAACGGTAGAAGATAGCCGTTAAATCTTCATTGTAAACGGTTCGAGATAGCCGTGGTAAAATCTCGGAGTGAATCCTATTGGCAAGGGTTGTTTGCCAAACTAGTGCGGTGCTATGACAGAGTTCAAGAGGCCGGAACTTAGTGTATTCAGAAATCCTTGAGGAGGAGCCTCGAGGTACTGGAGTAGGGAGTTCCTGAACCAGTATAAACTCGGTGTGTCTTTTACTTAACGCTTTTATTTCTGCGTTTTATATATTGCTTCCTCATTTGCCAACACCATTTTTATTAAATTCCGAAAAGTTTTCAAGCGCCTTATTCACCCCCCCCCCCCTTCTAAGGCGTGGGCACAACGACTAAAACGACTAAAACCACCCTCATGGAGAAAGTTGGTCTTGTAGAGTATTAGTTGGAGCTACCCCTGAACTGAACAAGACTCACAAGGTGTTTCACGTCTCGATGTTGCGACGTTACCGATTAGATTTGACCCATCGGTTACTCGAGGGAACAATGACTTGGTAATTTCTGGTAACAATGAGTCGGGATTCCATGAGAGTTAGGTATCCTCACCTTTCTGGTGACAATGACTCGGTAATTTCGAGGACGAAATTCTTTTAAGGGGGAGAAAAATATAACGCCCCGAAACCTAGCTTAATATTTTAATTAATTTATAAATTAATGAATTATTGGGCCGGTCAGTGCGAGGACTATTTCCTAATTTGGCTTAATCAATGGGGGTTATTCTCCGTTGTAGAGCCCGCTGTTCTTAACCTGACCACGCACACGGATTGAGAATCGGAGTTACTGGGTCCAAGATACTCGTGACGAATAAGGTAATTGGGCTCAAACTTATCTTAATTGGTTAAGAAGTGTAACCTAGACCCTAAAAACCAATTTAATTCTATATTAAATATGAAGGAGGTTATGAGACTTGCGATTCATCCGTTTACTCTTCCGTTTTGTTCTCTGCTCCACGTACGTTCTCTCTGCTCTGTCCGACGACATCTAGCGACTCCACATCCGGCCGACGAATTCGTCCAAAGGAAGCAAGCATCGGCGACGCCACCCCTCTCTATCTCTCTTCCTCGACGGCGCGCGAGGTTTGCCGAGGGGTCCAGCGGCAGTGACGGGAGCAGCAGTGGAAATTCCTCTTTTCCCTTTCCTCCGGTTTAATTCCTTCTATTTCAAGGTGATTCGTGGTTTCTATACCTTCCGTTAGCGTTAATTCGTGGATTAGAACTTCCGTAACGTATAATTTTGTAAGTGATTGTGAATTTGATTGTTAATGGATGAAATTGGTTGTGTTTGAAGAAATTGGGGGTTGAACACCGCCGGAATCTAGTGAGACGCCGGCGGCAGATGTCGGCAGTCCGGCCAGGGCTCCGACAGTGGCTTGGGTTGGCTATGTGGGATCCAAATGGGTCCAATTAGTTCCCATTGGATTCAATTTGGGTCTAATTGGGTTCAATCGGGTCTGTTTGGGTGCAATTGGGTCTAATCGTGTCGTTTGGACTTGCTTTATCACTTCGATGAATTTTGGCTTGACTTAAAACTCTCTGAATGAATTTTTACAATTTATTTAATTGTTAGTTTTAAAAAAAATATGTATGCAAATACCAACTTAGTACCAACCCGGTTCGCTAACTCGTTGGTTCAGGTTACGCGGGTTAGGATGTTACAACAGTTATGTTTTGGGTATGCAATGAAACTTAAACGAAGATGTGAATGACGTACATAGAATGTATCCCTTCTTTACTAAAGTATAATATCTCAGGACCCACTGATTGATGTGACTTAGAAAGTGCATAGTCATGCCCAAATAAATATGTTATTTGAATCCCACACGTCAATCGAAAAATGAGTAAACCATCGATTTAACTCTAACAAGGTGACACACCCCATACCTTGTGTTAAATCAAGATATTAGCGATAAAGGGATAAGGGTTATACAAATAGGATGTGTCGTTGAAGGAATTTTTCCAAGAGCTTTAATCTATAATTTGGGGGTGATAATGTGTTGCTAGATACCGCTTATATTTTGTAGTATTTAATCGATACTATGGCCAATTTTATAGATGCCTAGAGAAGGGTCACACACATAATATGAAAGTGTAGAATATGTAAATGGAGTAAAGTTGCAGTTTATTTATATATCGTGTATATTATATTGTATGACAATATTATTAAATACACAAATGTATATATATAAATAAACAATTATATTTGGACATTTTAATTATGTGATAATTAAGTTTGTCAAATATAATTAATAATATATATATATATATATATATATGAAATAATAAATTGTTTATTATTTTATTATTATTGAGGCGCAAGAATATATATATTTTTATATATACATACATACATACATACATACATACATACATACATACATATATATATATAGATATATATATATATATATATATATATATATATATCGTGTATATGTATATATAATAAATGTTATATTATTTATGTTGTGTTAATTATATGATAATTAAAGTTGGCAAAATAAATTTAGAAGCTTCCTTAAAGTGTCATTCGAAATTTCCTAAGTAGAATAGGAATGGGATTTGATTTCCTTCCTAAACTCTAAAAGATACTGTAACGCCACAAAATATGGCCTAAAATTTATTATAAAACAAAAGTAGTTTTAAATATTATTTTGGTCCAATAAAGAATATTTTTACGTTTGACCAAAAATAAAGCGATTTTCAAAATAATGACTTTTTGTTAAAAACTTATTTTAATGGATATGTCTCGAATAGACGAATCCAACGGTACATTTTATGAACCAATCTGATTTATAGATTTCAAGATATGATGATTTTAAATATTACAATTTGTAACTTTGACCCATAAATTAAACTCAATTCAAAAGAGATTTCATAAGATTAGAAATCTTAATTTTTGACACTTGACAACACCATATTTATCATTTGAATTTAATTCATATAATTTTTATCTCATTCATATTATTATATTAATAAAAGTTCTCAGAAAAATATTTTGATTACGTCAAAATTCTAGTTTTGACAGTCTCATTCCAAAAATAGAATCCGTTTTCAATTCGGATTAGTCTGGGCGAAAAAGCGCGTACTGCTTAGAGTAAACTGTTCAGTTTTGGCTAAAAGCCAAAACGTAATTCTCAAATCTCCTAGAATCTCCGTAGCTTCCCCATTTTCTCCATTAGCCTCCACCAACCTACCCCACTTCTCTCTTTATATCACCATCCTCATCATCCACCACCACCATATTCATCATCAAACATCATCACCATCATCCATCCATCATTCACCTCCTCTCCATTTTCTCTCTCTGTCGGCAGCTTCAAGGAGAGAAGAAAACACAGCCCATCCTCCATAGATGGTTCAAGGAAGAAGAAGAAACAAGAAGAAGCCATCAAGTGTCCAAAATCGTGAAACCAAACAAAGCAGCCCACTTCTAGGTAAAATCTGAAATTTTCCATTCATATTCTCAAAGTACTTTCTGAACCAAAGTTGTAGCCCCGAACGATACGAATCCAGCCCAACAAACGGCTCGCGATTTCGTTAAGTAATGAAGGAGGTATGGCCAAAATAACGGGACTGCGCTAGTGGTGGCGAGCTCCTCGGGTTGGACCATATATCTTCACCAAGTTCATATTGTTTCATTCCAAATACTTACCATAAACTCTCTAACGATTATTAGGAACATCCGGAAGGTATCGTAGAGAAGTTTTGGTGTTGAAATATTGAAGTTAATGAGTTAATCGTCAGAACCGTTGTTCACCGGAGTATTCAAATTCTGGACAGCAACTTTCTCTTGACTTCAGGTCCAATTTACGCTATCTTACATCTGTTAAAACGAAATACTTTCTATACGAAAGTTATAGCCTTACATCTTAAGAATCTACAGAATCAAACGGTTTGCAATTTCGTGAAGAAAGGATGGAGATATGCCCAAAATACAGTAGGCTGTCCAATTGTGACGAGAATAACAAAGTTGGTGAATTTCGATGTTGTTTCCACTCCCGCTCATCCGTAAGGTTTCGGCCGATGATTTCCATGTCTGTACCCTTTGCGTTAGACTTGTCGAATCATTCATCACATACATACATGAACATATATGTTAATCCATATGATGAAACTATCTCCAATATGTATATGCGATACATATATATGTCATCTATATGTTGAGATCAAAATACATCAAATCCATAAAGTTAATATACACATAAGTAGATATAAACCTTGGAAATCATTCCAAGAATATATATATATATATCTATATATCTATATATGTGTGTGTGTGTGTGTGTGTATATATATATATATATATATATATATTTATCAGTCAAACAGTAGGTAAAAAAACAAATTGTTGATGAAGGCTCACAAAACGCAACCAGTCATAACACAGAAATCCAAAAACGGACGAGCGGAAGATAAAAGACCATTCAAAAATTCCTTGCAAGAACAATCAATGCTCTCTCTCTACTAAGATTGTTGAATAACTATTGCAAGCTTTTGAAGAGACGAGAGATTACTGCGGCCAAGCACTTTCGGCGGCAACCACAACTCCGCCATGAGGCACGGCGGCTGGGGCTGGGGCAGCAGCTTCGCCCCATCCATCGGGTGCTGATGCCCAGTCCCCAGCAGGAGCTGCACTGGGTTGCTCATTAGTCCATTGGGAATCCGCGATTTGGCCAGTTGACCAGTCACTACCATAAGGAGCAGTACCATAGTCATTGTATTCTTGAGCAGCGGAGGCATCTTCCTCCTCTTTTTCCTTGTTCTCTTTTTCATCCCTGTAGAAGAAAAGATCGACCATCACTTCCCATTTGTGACCAGGCGCAACACTGCCGCGCATCTGCAGAACCATCCTAGCCAAGATCCAGAACAGAACTCCGATGCTGTGCTTCCCCTTGTTGTTTGCTGGGATACCAATATCAACATAGCGCATTGGAGAATCAGTGTCACAGAAAGCAATTGTGGGGATATTCCCAAGAGCGGCTTCCTTGATTGGCTGATGGTCAGTTCTGGGATCAGTGAGGATTAGAAGTCTAGGCTCACTGTAGGAAGTTTGCATTTGATTGGTAAATGTCCCTGGAGTGTGACGCCCAGCAATTGTTTGAGCTCCAGTATATTGAGCAAACTTCAAAACAGCTCTCTGACCATAAGACCTTGCAGATTGGACAATAATGTCCTTAGGATTCTGAACAGCAACAATGACCCTTGCCGCAAGATAAAGTTTTTCCCAGGTCTTCGAGATGTTAATTATGTGAATTCCGTCTTTCCGGCGTTTGAAGAGGTAACGCTCCATCTGAAAATCACAGTTTTTGGTGCCGAGATGGACATCAGCTGCCAACATCATTCGAATGTCGGCCTCTTTTGTTGACAACACTCTCTGAGCTGCTGGTGTCTCCATCTTTGATTTTCCTTTCCCCCTGAAGCTCTGCTCTAAACAGAGCTCGACAGAACTTGATCTTCTCGGACGCTCCTGTGATCCTGATATATATATATATATATATATATATATACACACATATATATATATATACATATATATATATATATATATATACATATATATATATATATATATATATGTATACACATATATATATATATATACATATATATATATATACACACATATATATATATATATATACATATATATATATATACATATATATATATATATATACATATATATATATATATACACATATATATATATATACATATATATATATATATACATACATATATATATATATATATATATATATATATGTTAATCAAAGGTGTTTAAAAGACTTAAAGAAGTATTTTGGACACTCAAAATATCAAGAGTAAGACTCGCAGACCCAAACGGTCGACCGTGTCGTGTTAAAACTTCGAAACGAACCACGACTGTCAGCCAGATGGTCGACCGCCGGTGGCTGACGGTCGACCGCCGCCCGCCCGGCTAAGAACCGCTTTTCTAGTCAGTCAACAACGGTCTACCACCAGTCAACCGCGGTTGACCGTCACGGTACTCCAGAATCCGACGAATTGAATCAAAGCACGGTCGACCGCCGTGCCAAACGGTCGACCGTTCCGAGCCCAGTGGTTTAATTAAATGATATTTTAATCATGTTCCATCCAAAGAAACTAATGCATGATTATATATTCATATTGTTTACAAATTGTTCATATGATATCATTCATATCATCATATATATTGTAGCATATCTCATCATATGCATGCGTAAGAGATCATGCCTAGTGTGTCTCTTGCAACGTGATTGTGCTGGACTTAGTAGTCCGACATCACAAGTTCGGGCTCAGTGTACGTACATGGTATTCAGGCTTCCGAGTACCACCCACATTTTTCAAGTCTCACCTCATTCGTGAGACTAAGGTGGCGTGAGTTCGTCGTACATCTGGGCGAATCTCATAGCACAAGGGTCGTCCTTGCAGGTTATAGGTTCATGCATCATGTTATCATCATCAAGTACAATTACATTGATTACATAGGTGTCATGTAATCATCATCAAGAACAATTATATTCATTACATAGGTTTCATTAATCATCATCAAGAACAATTATATTGATTACATAGGTGTCATGTAATCATCCTCACTAGCAAATTGATTAAATGTGTCATCATGTAATTATCATTAAATGTTTATCATTATGAACCATTAAATTGACCATATGATATAACGTGCCATATCATAAATATTATTATATATTTTGTGGACATATATATATATATATATATATATATATATATATATATGTATGTATGTATGTATATGTATATGTATATGTCTGCAAATTATTCTACAATTCTAGCGTGGTACCACTCAGCGGTTTCGCTGAGCGTGTAGTTTGTATTTTTCGTTGACTACACGTAGGTAACAAGAAGACAATGATGAAACCACTCCCGGAGGGCATTGAGTCAGAGGAGATGCAAGGATGGCAGGAAAATGTTTGATCATCAAGATTTAAATGTGTCATGATTTGATTATTATTGAACTTCCGCATTACTCTAAAAATATTTTTAAATGGGTCGCGATCGAGAGTCTGTAAATTTAAAATTTATAATAAATTTTCATTTTCAAATGTCAAGCGAAATTTTTATTTAACTCTCGTTTCACCTTAACTCGTGTAATTCCGGGTTATACGGATTGGGGTGTTACAAGTACATTCCTATTAGGAATAGGAATAGGGATTATGCTCCTTATAAATAGGAGATCATCCCAACCCTTTTGATTACTTAGATTTTCGGCCCTAACCATAATTTAGGAGAGAGAAATTTGTTTTGTTCTCTTAATACTTTACACCAAATACTTTATATTTTAGAAATATTCTAGAGAAAAATTACTAGCATAATTTTCTCTAGAACACTCTTCGTTGTTCGTGTGTCTCAACTGGTGGTCATATACTTTTGTGGCTAGCTCTTGGATCAATCCATCAACCTGCACATATTGTTGCTTGCTCGCCAAGAAAGGTATATTTCTCAACAATAACTTATAATAATCATAAGAGGTCCTGGGTGGATCTACGTTTGGACAATAAAAGTTTTTATAATTCTGTTGCACTATCCAAGCGTAGAACCCAACACGCCAAACACAATATCTAGATCTAGGGGAATGCTAGCAGGGGTAGCAGCTTGTGTAGAGACCGAAATATTGAAGGGATCAAAAAGAAATTCCTCAAAGATCGATCCGAGCTAATTTCATCGAATTATTGATTTTTATGTAATTTTATATGAACAAGTTTTAGAATGTAATCCCGTAATATTAGTTACTCGTGTTCACATGCAACTCCATGCAATTATATGTATCCACCACATAATTAATAATAATGTTAATAATATATGTAATAATATATGCTATTCCATGAAATCATATGTATCCACCACAATTTTATTAATAATATATTTATCTACCATGGAATTTATTTTTTGTTTCTACAATGGTACTCCTTGCATATGTAGTAAGTAACTTCTAAATGCATGTTGGCCATCTTTTCTTTTGTCTTCTTCTCCAAAGATTTAAAATCTTTATGTTGTGCTCTCAACTCTAACATTTTTACCGCAAAGATGCCGCAGTCAGAATCATTCTGTTGGGTATTGGGCATAATTCGATATCCCAAGTGGCATATCCGTGCTTGCCAATTTCTTTAATTCTAGCAATGCCTGAAAACCCTCTAAGTTCATTTTTCAGCAAATGATGCATGTCCTCGTTCGTAGATATCCTAGAAAGGGAGTTAAGCAGGATGAGGCAGCACCTCTTAAAGTCAGCCTTGACATAGAACCAATGTGAACCCGTGCCTTTCAAATAATATACGTACTTAGTGTTCTTTTTCCAGGCTTTGGTTTTAAATGCTTCCGGCCCCTCGCTGTATATATCATTCACAATCTTTTCAATGGATCCAGAGAAAAGGGAGTAATCTAGGTCATGCGCAAAAGAGTTCACGTACGTGGTGAATTCAAAAGGCGCAATGACAGAGTCTCCATCGTCATTGCAAAAACGTATTCTCATGACGTAAAGGTACTCACTCAGATGCTAGTTAACAAGCAAAAATATGTAATTAGAAAACGAAAGATATAAGCATTGTTTATGTACGAAGAATGAAAGGTTAATGCAACTTACACTATCCGCTACCCAAAGACCTGGAGTGATAAGGTCAATCCACCAGGTATTCACATATGGATCTTGCTCCTTGTGCTACTCGAGGTAATCAATGTACAGGGCGGTCTGTAACGCCCCGAAATCTGGCCCAAAAGAATTAATTAAATTCGTTAGAGCAATTGATTTCGAATTGGGCCTAAAAAGGGGGTTAAAATTATAATTTGGATTCTAAGCCCAACTCTTATGTCATCTCGTAGGAAATATTTTTGTGATCATGTCAGTTCAAACAGCTCGCGAATCGGAGTTATGGAGCTCATGTTATGGCCGTTTAATCAGGTATTTTGGGCCCGGAGCCCAAACCACTAGTATTGGGATTAATAAGTAAAACCTAAACCTATTAATATTAAAATAAGGCATATAAACGTACGCTTCTTCTGTTTCAGATCTTAGAGCCGCACGAGGTCCTTCATCTTCATCATTTTCGATCGCCGCCATAAGCCAGTCGCCGTCCTTCTCCGGCACCGCTAGTCGACGCTGCTTCCCCTTCGCTAGAAGTTCATCGCCCACTGCCAGGGTCAGCGCCGCCGACCATGGTTCCCAATCCTCGTGATGCCGTTCGTCGCCTCCACTACCGGTGTCTGCCATCCTCGCCATCGAGTTGCAGCGCCGCCACGCCGAACGCTGGTCACCGCCAATTGCCTCCAGCCGCCGTCGCCCTTAGCACAGCTCCCGCTCCGCCACTGTACGCCGGCGCCCGCCACCGTCGCCGCATCCAGCTGCTGCCCCGGATTGATACCGCCGGCAGATTAATCTCCACGCCAGATTAATTGTTCGATTCTGTGTTTTGACTCAATTTGACCCGTTGTTTGTTCGATTTCGTTGATTTGTCTTCCGTTCGAGCTATCGATTCAATTTCTACGTAATCCAGGTCCGTACTATGAAGCTAATAGCGTTTAGAATAGATCTAATGGTTCGGATCGTTACATATGTTTATGCTATAATTTGGCTAAATTGGTTAATTGAATTAAATTGATTATTCGAATTGAATTGTTGAGAATTATGAATTGCCTGAACAGGTTTGACTTTGACTTGGGTTAGGTCTCGTTTGACTTAGGCTTTGACTGGATATTTTGTTGACGTAGGTTTGACCTAATGGTTAAATCAAAGGACTTTAATGAGTTAATTAAGTTAATTAATTAATTGTAATCAGTAATTAGGATCAATTGGTTTATTATGTCGAACATAGAAACTGGCCATTGCTCGGGCGGCTGCAGGGCCTGGTCAGTGAGGTTAAGACGTGCGCACGAGGGTCTGTGATCTTGGGTTTGATGCTATCGCCCGAGGGATCCTACCTCCACCGAATTGAGGCTATCTTCGGTATTACGGATTGAGGCTATCTCCGTCATAGGCAATAAATGTTAAGTGGTTTGACTTTCGTGAAAGTCTAAATTGGTTTGACCGGTGGTCAAAGAGTTAATGAGGAATCCTTAACACCTAAATCATTTTGAAAAGAAAGAAAATAAGTTGACCGTTGGTCAACCGTCTAAAGAACCGAATTTAAAGTTGAATTGATTTTTATTAAAAGGATAAACATATGCGCGATCTTAATTATTGAATTATTATGTTTATTCTTGTGCTACAATGGAGTGCCACTCAGGGTCAATGCTGAGCGGATAGCGTTGTTTTCCTTTTTGCTGTCCGTAGGTGATCAGACAGATGAACCTAGAGCCCATCCCAGAGGGCATTGAGGAGGAGATGTACGATGGCGTGGCTGTCTCTCTAATCTGTAGTTATGCTTTATTTAATTAACTTTAATGCTTATTACGTTTTCTGGCAAGATCCCAAGTTGTTTGACTTTAAAAGGCTTCTGCATTATTTTAAATTACTCTGATGGATTTTTATAAGTATTGATAGAATGTTTGTTTAAATTGTTTTGAAAATGTTGTATATTCGGATACCAATCGAGTAGCACACCGGTCTGCTGTCTCACGGGTTCGGGTTACGCGGGTTGGGGTGTTACATTTTAGTATCGGAGCATTTGGTTTTAAAATCGGTCTTTGGACCCTTTCAAAATAAAATACAATGAATAATTCAGCCACATCTGCATCTCACGTAACTCCTCTGCCCCGGGAAGGTAATAAGTATTTATAGCTTTATCTGTTATATGTTAAGATCTGACTTGGGAATTTCCTTATTATTTTAGAATGAGTCAAGAATCGACCCATGGTCAGTACGTTCCAGAGCCGGAGCACGTGAGCGTGCACACGGTGAACACCGAGGGTTCGAGTTTCACGCCTCCGGGTGACGGAGGGCAGCAACAGAATCAACCTGAGCCAGCGGGACAGCCGCCAGTTGTACCACCCCCACTCGTACCACCTCTAGTGATGCCACCGTTGGCGATGCCGCAGGTGGCCTACGAGCAGATGTTCCCGGCCATGATGGCCCATTATATGCAGCACATGGCGCAGCTTATGCCCATGTTCCAACCACCGCCACCACCACAGCCGCAGCCGCGCATCGTTACCTTCAAGACATTGAAGGATAATGGAGCGGAAGAGTTTCGAGGAGACAAGATGGGGGAGCCCCAGATTGCGTTGGATTGGCTTGAGCAGATGGACCGGGTACTCAAGAATTTGAGAGTCCCTGATGCAGATCACTCGGAGTTGGCGTCACAGATGTTCCAGAAGGGAGCATATGATTGGTGGAAGCGCATTGACCAGGATCCACACACGCCCAAGCCTTGGACCTGGGATCACTTTGATCGAGCTTTCACGAAGGAGTACGTCCCCACCCGGTACCGCGAGGAGAGGCGCGATGAGTTCGTTGCGCTTAAGCAGGAGGGGATGTCACTGCCTGAACTGAGACAGAAGTTCGACTACCTGTCCTAGTATGCGACGAGTCTGGTCTCCACTCCGGAGGATCGTTTGAATGAGTTCGTCAAGAAGCTACGGCCGGACTTGAGGCCGTACGCCGCGCTGATCATGACGACAGATTTTAATGCGGAGTATGATTTGATTGTGAAGACGGAAAAGAGCTTGGACGATTTGCAGGCGACCAAGAGGGAGGATCGAGCGACGAAAGACCCGCGACCTGCGGCCAGCGCCGGGCCGAGCGGGAAGAGTTTTGGATTCGGGGGAAAGACGTACGAGAAGGGATCTTCGAGTGCGCCGCCGCCTAAGAGGAGTAAGTCGAAGTCATCTCTGTCGGCCGCCGCTAGCAACGCGATCAGAACGAAGAGCCACCCGCAGTGTGTACAGTGTGGTAGGCATCACCCGGGCGAGTGTTGGCTCGCCAAAGGCTTATGTTTGGGTTGTGGTAAGCCAGGGCATTTCAGGAGGCATTGCCCGACAAACCCTAGCAGCGAGCCTGTTTTTCCTAGAGCTCCGGATCAGCCTGCCGCATCGCATCCAGCACGGAGTCAGCAGTCTACAGCCGCAAATAATCAGCACAGACCACGTCCGCAGCAGACAGGCCGTGCACCAGCGCGTACCTACGCCATGCAGGGGCGCACAGATCCTAATCTCGATGTTATCTTGGGTACGTTCATACTATTTGATTCAGTTATGCATGCCTTGATCGATCCGGGTTCCACGCTCTCCTATATCTGTGTTGACATGCCTGCTAATTCTGCGATCGTGAGGAGTGACCGTGAGATACCTACCGTCGTATCAAATCCACTAGGACATAGCATGCGTCTTCATCACATTTATCATAGGTGTCCGTTGTCCGCGCAAGGGAAGCAATTCCCTGCAGATTTGATAGAGCTATCCCACAAGGAGTTTGACATTATCCTTGGTATGGATTGGCTCACCGAGCATAGAGCAGTGGTCGACTGCAGTAGTCGGACCGTATGGCTGAGAGCCGATGACGGTAGCAACATGTCACTCTCCGGGGAGGTGTTCCCCGAGGCTCCCGAGTTCATATCATCCATGAGCGCGAGGCGCTTGATTCGCAAGAAGTGCGAGATGTTCCTGTGTCACGTTCAGGATGTGCGGAAAGAATCACCACGTCAGCAGGACATCCCTACAGTTTGCGACTTCCCCGACGTCTTTCCCGAAGACCTTCCTGGTTTGCCTCCGCCGAGAGAGGTAGAGTTCTCGATCAATCTCGTTCCGGGTACGGAACCCATATATGCTACACCGTATCGTATGGAACCTACCGAGATGAAGAAGTTGAAGGCTCAATTGCAAGAACTACTGGAAAAGGGATTCATCCGACCTAGCGTTTCCCCATGGGGAGCACCGGTGTTATTTGTTCGAAAGAAGGATGGATCCATGAGACTTTGCATCGACTACAGGCAGTTGAACATAGCCACAGTGAAGAATCGTTATCCGTTGCCTCGCATCGACGACCTGTTCGACCAGCTCAGAGGGGCTACAGTATTCTCGAAGATTGATCTGCGTTCTGGATACCATCAGATTCTTGTTAAGAGAGAAGACATTCCGAAGACTGCTTTTAGGACACGCTATGGGCATTATGAGTTCTCAGTCATGCATTTCGGATTGACTAATGCCCCGGCAGTGTTCATGGAGCTTATGAACAGTGTATTCCAACCATACTTGGACCAGTTCGTAGTAGTGTTAATCGTTGACATCTTGGTTTATTCACGGACACAGGAGGAGCATGCTAGACATTTGCAATTGATTTTGAGTGTGTTGACGGAGCACAAGATGTATGCAAAATTGTCCAAGTGTGAATTCTGGTTGAGTGAGGTGACATTCTTAGGACATGTTATCTCTACCACCGGTATCCAGGTAGACCCCAGCAAGATTTCAGCCATAGTGGATTGGAAGACTCCGCGGAATGTTCGTGAGGTGAGGAGCTTCCTTGGGTTAGCCGGTTACTATCGTCGATTTGTTAAGGGCTTCGCCTCGATCGCTACTCTATTGAACAAGCTACTGCGGAAGGACATCAAATTTGAGTGGACAGAAGCATGCCAGCGCAGTTTTGATCAGCTAAAGGACTGCCTGACCCAGGAACCAGTCTTGATTCAACCTACTCCTGGCATCGAGTATACCATCTATAGTGACGCATCTCATAGCGGCTTAGGTTGTGTACTGATGCAGTTGGGTAAAGTAGTGGCCTACGCATCGAGACAGTTGAAGACTCACGAGGAGAACTACCCGACACATGATTTAGAGTTGGCAGCCGTGGTGTTTGCCCTCAAGATTTGGCGCCACTACATCTTTGGAGAGAGGATTCACATCTTCACCAATCACAAGAGTTTGAGGTACCTACTCACCCAGAAGGAACTGAATCTTAGACAACGTCGATGGTTAGAGCTGATCAAGGATTACGATTTAGTCATTGAGTATCACCCGGGCAAGGCTAACATCGTGGCCGATGCTTTGAGCAGAAAATCGTTAGCCGAGCTACAGCTTCAGTCTCCGTTAGAGCAGGAGATCCGTACAGCACAGAGAGATGATGAGTTTTTTCAGAAGACTCGAGAGTTAGTTCCTACAGGAAAGAGTCCCGAGTTCGCAATTCGCGATGACGGAGTCTTGTACTATCTTGAACGCCTAGTGGTGCCCCGCGGTGGAGTGAGGGATCGCTTGTTGCGCGAGGCTCACGGAACCGTATACACTATGCACCCGGGTAGTAACAAGATGTATCAGGATTTGAAGAAATCCTATTGGTGGCCTGCTATGAAAAAGGAAATCTCCGAGTTCACTGCGCGCTGTTTGACTTGTCAGCATGTCAAGGCTGAGCACCAGGTTCCGACAGGATTGCTGCACCGAGGATGGTAAGGCCTTACCTTCACCCTTTCCTAGTGATACCTGAAACACTAGCCTAACGGTGCTAGAAGTGCTTTCTTACTGCGGTAGACCCAGTAACAACTGTCCAACTGTTTCAGGCGAGTAAAAGATGGGCAGTCTGCACTGAGGAGGTACCTGTTTAACCGTCTGAATATGCAATCTCTCTATGTTCGGTTGCATGGTGCACCGCTATCAATCATATCCGATAGAGATCCCCGGTTCACTTCGATAGAGATCCCCGGTTGCATGGTGCACCGCTATTAATAAGTAAAACTTAAACCTATTAATATTAAAATAAGGCATATAAACGTACGCGTCTTCCGTTTCAGATCTGAGAGCCGCACGAGGTCCTTCATCTTCATCATTTTCGATCGTCGCCATAAGCCAGTCGCCGGTCGCCATCCTTCTCCGGCACCGCTAGTCGCCGCTGCTTCCCCTTCGCCAGAAGTCCGTCGCCCACTGCCAGGGTCAGCGCCGCCGACCATGGTTCCCAATCCTCGTGCTGCCGTTCGTCGCCTCCACTACCGGTGTTTGCCATCCTCGCCGTCGAGTTGCAGCGCCGCCACACCGAACGCTGGTCACCGCCAATTGCCTCCAGCCGCCGTCGCCCTTAGCACAGCTCCCGCTCCGCCACTATACGCCGACGCCCGCCACCGTCGCCGCATCCAGCTGCTGCCCCGGATTGATACCGCCGGCAGATTAATCTCCACGCCAGATTAATTGTTCGATTCTGTGTTTTGACTCAATTTGACCCGTTGTTTGTTCGATTTCGTTGATTTGTCTTCCGTTCGAGCTATCGATTCGATTTCTACGTAATCCAGGTCCGTACTATGAAGCTAATAGCGTTTAGAATAGATCTAATGGTTCGAATCGTTATATATGTTTATGCTATAATTTGGCTAAATTGGTTAATTGAATTAAATTATTATTCGAATTGAATTGTTGAGAATTATGAATTGCCTGAACAGGTTTGACTTTGACTTGGGTTAGGTCTCGTTTGACTTAGGCTTTGACTGGATATTCTGTTGACGTAGGTTTGACCTAATGGTTAAATCAAAGGACATTAATGAGTTAATTAAGTTAATTAATTAATTGTAATAAGTAATTAGGATCAATTGGTTTATTATGTCGAACATAGAAACTGGCCATTGCTCGGGCGGCTGCAGGGCCTGATCAGTGAGGTTAAGACGTGCGCACGAGGGTCTGTGATCTTGGGTTTGAGGCTATCGCCCGAGGGATCCTACCTCCACCGAATTGAGGCTATCTTCGGTATTACGGATTGAGGCTATCTCCATCATAGGCAATAAATGTTAAGTGGTTTGACTTTCGTGAAAGTCTAAATTGGTTTGACCGGTGGTCAAAGAGTTAATGAGGAATCCTTAACACCTAAATCGTTTTGAAAAGAAAGAAAATAAGTTGACCGTTGGTCAACCGTCTAAAGAACCAAATTTAAAGTTGAATTGATTTTTATTAAAAGGATAAACATATGCGCGATCTTAATTATTGAGTTATTATGTTTATTCTTGTGTGCTACAATGGAGTGCCACTCAGCGTCAATGCTGAGCAGATAGCGTTTTTTTCCTTTTTGCTGTCCGTAGGTGATCAGACAGATGAACCTAGAGCCGATCCCGGAGGGCATTGAGGAGGAGAGGTACGATGGAGTGGCTGTCTCTCTAATCTGTAGTTATGCTTTATTTAATTAACTTTAATGCTTATTACGTTTTCGTGCAAGATTCCAAGTTGTTTGACTTTAAAAGGCTTCTGCATTATTTTAAATTACTCCGATGGATTTTTATAAGTATTGATAGAATGTTTGTTTAAATGGTTTTGAAAATGTTGTATATTCAGATACCAATCCAGTGGCACACCGGTCTGCTGTCTCACGGGTTCGGGTTACGCGGGTTGGGGTGTTACACGGTCAGCTTTAATTGCTTCTGCGATGAAGCTCTTAAATTCCAAAAGATCTCCTTTAGTTGGAGGCTTAAATAAGAGTTCATCGGCTTTCTTTTTCTTCATCCCGTTTGTTGTATATGGATACTTCAAACTGGCTGACTACTTTTTCAGTCTCTAAAATAAAAAAAAAAGTGAATTCGAATTATTTTGAAACCTTCGACTCCAATTCAAAAGAACTTGAAGTAAGATACCAAACCATTCCATGCACATGGGCATAAATAATTTCAGCCTCGTCTCCCAATTCATTCTAGGGAGAAACAACCTACATTGAATGCATTTCGAATGCATGAAATTTAGAATTTTACCTTATCCTGTAGAGGTTTCATAGAAGCAGCAACGTCTGTTTCCATTACCTCATGGCTAGACTCAACCTGCAGATAATTCGAATTATTTTGTAATCTTTGACTCCAATTCGAAAGCACTTGAAGTAAGATACCAAACCTTTCCATGCACATGGGCATCGATAATCTCTGCCTCGTTGCCCAATTCCTTTTGGGGAGAAACAACCTACATTATATTTCCAAATAAAAAACTTTTCTTTAATACGCAAAAAAACATATTCAGATAGCTTCAAAGATACCGACTGCATTTCGAATGCAGGAGATTAAGAATTTTACCATTTCCTACAGAGGCTTCATTGAGGCAATAGCTTATGTTCCCATTGTCTCATGGGTAGACTCAGCCTAGAGACAAGAACAAAAATATGAATCTATCCATCATATTATATCCTATAATATTATGAAAGACAAAATTAATGAATGTAAATAAGAGTGTTACCATTTTCTCCACAAGGAGTTCCAAAGGTTCAATTGAAGCAGCAGCATCTGTTATCATTGTGTCATGTGTAGACTCAAGCTATAGACAAGTACAAAAGGTGTGGAGTCCCAAAATATGTGGTTAGAACATTTTCTAAAGGACAATGCAGCTGTAAATTAATATTAGAACTTTACCATTCTGTTCTCCAAACATAGAACAGAATTAGAAAGAGTTGAAAGTGGATTCTCATGCTCTTGATTTATTTCTCCAAGAATTTGGAGAATATCGAGTCTTGGAGAAACCAATAAAGTATGAAGTATGAAAATGATGAGAATGAAGTATGAAATGATTTTATGATTTCATTTAACATATGCAAACAAAATGAAATGACTGTATTAAACCTTAAACCTTATCATCAAATGAAGGATTGTGTGCCTTAGTCTCTTCACAATCATCCATGATTGTCGTCGCTGGCACGTGAACGTTAAAAGATCTTACAGATTTAAAACTAAACAAAACGTTTCGACTGTATTTGAGAAACTTTGAACATTTCGTATACATTTGAATGCTTCGTATATATTCGACGGTTTTCGACTTACCTCTAGCGGAGTCTTTATTGGTTCTTCTCCTGATTCAGGTACATTCACCTTCATATTTTTATATAAAAATAGATGAGTTGTAATCAATTAAAATTATTGGATGACCTTCTAAAAGCTTTGACACACCTTATTCACAATCTTTTGATTTATTAAAGTTGACAAAGCATCAACTTTTTTTTCCAGCACTTCAAACCTCTTTCGTTGTTCTTCTGCAATGTCATCAATTTTCTTTGACATTCGATCAAAGAGTACTTGAAAGGAATTGGATGAAGGCTTGGTGGGGTGAGGGGTAGGAGACAATGGAGTTGGGATGTTGGAATGGAAGACTCTAGAAGCAGATTCCCTAAGGCTCTGAGATGCTTGGGGAGAGGAGAAGATGTGCTCATTATGCTCTACAGAATTATCTCTTGTTGGGGATTGGATATTCCGTGCTTTTCTCTTCCTCTCCACCAGAATGTGGACTTCCCCTCTACTCTCTAATTTTGCCACAAATGCATCCAACTCAGGGTGTGCTGTGGTCTCTAGAGGATGGATGTTCAAATACCACTCTGTAGTAGCCTCAAACCTGTCGGGAACAAGAATACATAGTAGAGCCTGCAACCAAAACAATGACACTTTATTTTGGGAATTCCTTAAATTTTTAATCTTCATGGACCAATAATATGTATATACTTGCACGCCCCCAATGTAAGCATCCATTTCTGTGTGGGTGATTTTCTTCTTTACTCGAATTTTATCCCAAAGGCAGATTCTTGGCCTAGCTGGGGATGTTTGTGGTTGTTGTAACATTTGTTCAAGTCCCCAAGCAACTCTCCAGAAAAGGATCTTTTCATATTGAAAGTTTCAATGAGATCACATTTCAAAAACAATCATAGAAATATTATACTTAAAAAAATCCTTACCCCAGCGGGAAGCAAGAAACAAGTACAATACATTGTTGATGAGGCCCCACTTCCAATTGATTTGGCCTTAGCAGCTAGGTCTTTCCTTAGTGACCCCAAGGACTCCATAAATGCCCAGGTTCCCCATGAGAAATCTAAAACTACTATTAACTGTGCAATCATGCCCAGAATCCAATCTGGAATTGCAGACTTGTCGCAATCAGTAGGACCCAAGAGAACAACAACAACAAACAATAGTGTGGCCATTTTCATAGCATCCATCTCCTGGCATTCATTCTTCTTTTCCCCGTCCAAGCCTTTACAAATGTCCAAGTAACGCTGCACAACCATCTTGTTAAATCATTTTTGTATGAGGTTAATTCCTTTGAATTTTCAAAGCCAGCTTTAAGGTGAGAGCAGTTGAGACCGCTAATGAGTGAAAACTCCCTCAAGGAGTACCTGACAGGAACTCCTTTGACAACAAACCACTTCTCTCCTTTCCTCTTTATTTTGGCTTCCCTCGCAATGAGTTGCCATAAGAATTGAGAAGGAGGAATACACTCAACATCCAAAAAATGAGAAAAAGGGGTGTTCTCCCTAAACAAAGCAATGACTTCTAGATGATATCCAAGTCCTTCGCTCATCAGATTCTGGAACTCCCCCAAAGAAGATTTCAGGATTAACTTCATTCCAAGTATTTTATCTATATGAATGGTGCAATCCAACGCTGGAACCAAAAATTAAAATCATGAACTAATCAAAAAATAGATTCGACTGCATTCGACTATAACCAATTACTGTAACATTATATTGATTATTTCCATGGTCGAATAACTTGTTCTATTTCTGAATGTTTCAAAAACAAACAAAATAAACTTAAAATGTTATATTTTAGTGTACATGCAATGCACCTCAATTTCTGAAGCATCCGGGAACGATTCACCCTCCACAAATGAAGTTACCTCAGCAGAAATCTGACACCAAGCCCAAATAGTTCAAAATAAAACCAAAATTAGTTAATTTTATGTGAGGATTATTTGAAAATACCTGGTTTTCATTCTCCATCTCCTCCCTTCGTGTTTGGGTGAGAGTTCTTCTTCTCTTGTACTGGAACCCGCAACTTGCTCCGGTGTTCTCAATGGAAAACAGATGTGTGGTAGTTCTTGAAGAGCAGAAAAGTTTTGATTGATGAATGTGTATCGTTTTCGAAGACTGGCCGGGGGATTAAGGAGGGGTTGGCACTTCAAACGGCGCCGTTTGGTCTTTCCGAAAATCATCGTGACGCTTCGAAGGCAACCTAACGGATGGTCCTTAATTTTAATATTTCCATTTAATTTTTGAAGTAGTAGTCATAAACAGTGATGTTTTGTTTCTTGGTTGAAAGGACCTTTATGTCATTTCCTCTAATTTCACACAATTAGAGCGGACACGCGAATCTGTGTTAGATCTAGTAGGCATTCCCATTAATTCCAACCTTTTTATGCTTAGGACAAATGCAAACCCAATAAGAATTGAGTATAGTCGAATCCGCGGACAAACACAAACCATGGAGAAGCTGATGATCAGAGTTCGGAGCAGAGATGGCCTTGAGCGGGTAACGATCGGCAACCCACATGCCACAATCGCGCATCTCAAATCCGAAATCGAGGCTCAGCTCCGAGTCCCTATTCAATCGCAAACCCTTTCCACAAATCAAAACCTCTTGCTCGCCAAAACCCTAGATGATTTGGCCCAATTCACGGACATGTCTAACCCACTCGCCCCAATTTCTTCTGTCAACATCGGCCATGGCTCCATCATATACCTGTCCTATGAAGGGGAGCGGACCGTACCGGGTCCAGCATTCAACCCTGCTGGGTCATTCGGGAAGAAGATGACCATGGATGATCTGATCGCCAAGCAAATGCGCGTTACCAGACAGGAAGAATCACACTGCGAGCTCGTGTCCTTTGATCGAGACGCAGCCCATGCCTTCCAGCATTACGTCAATGACACCCTTGCGTTTGCCGTAAAGCGCGGTGGGTTTATGTATGGGACTGTGTCCCCAGAAAGGAAAGTGGAAGTAAATTTCATCTATGAGCCGCCACAGCAGGGGACAGAGGATAGATTGTTGCTTCTGCGCGATCCTGATGAGGAGAAGATTGTGGATGCAATTGCTGTGGGGTTGGGTATGAGGAAGGTGGGATTTATCTTTACTCAGTCCGTTACACAAGACAAAAAGGATTACACTATGTCGAATGCGGAAATTCTGCAAGCTGCTGAGCTGCACGGGGAGAATAACTTGAAGGAATGGGTGACTGCCATGGTAAAGTTGGAGGTGAGTGAGGGTGGAGGCGCTGATGTGCATTTTGAGGCATTCCAGATAAGTGATGTGTGTATTAGATTATTCAAGGAAGGATGGTTTGAGACAGAAGGCACTGAAGATTTAGATCCCAAGCTTTCCCGGATGAAAAAATATGTTGTTGTCGGAGTGAAGGATACAAAAGAGGTTGACAATGATTTTTTCTTGGTTGTAGTCAAGATTTCTGATCACCAGGTGCGTTTGAACTTTCACCTTTGCTTTCTGCTATTCAGTTTCGTTCTTTTCTTTTTCAAGCTCACACCTTCATCAATTTGTATCTTATGTGCACAATACGTTGGTATCAACATTCAGATTTTTCCCTTAAGTTCATATTTTAGTATATTGCACCACTTGATAAATCACAGGTACTTATGAATTAAGGGAGTTAAACTAGTTTAAAATTTTCCAATGCATGTACTCTATGACGAATATGTAGTACTCCCAGTGGCAGACCCAGAAATTTCGGGGCGTGGGGTCGTGTTTGTGAATTGTGAGATGTTTTATCAACACGCTATATGCCGTGCATTAAGTACAAAAGTACTCTTTTGTCACGTCTTGTCTCACTTCGGTTTATAATGTTTAACTAAAGCATTGCTTATTGAATTTATTTGAATATTGGCTTTAAGTAAAAACTAAAATACAATATATTTAAAAATAATAAAAAATATTTTATAAAATAAGAGATTTCATGACTATAATTTTTAAGAAAATGATAGACAAAAGCATTTAAAGAAACAATACTTAATTTGACTATAAATAGTGGATAACACAAACATAACGAGATGATGGACTAATTCATAAACTTAAAGATTCTATTTATTGAAAAAATATTAAATTGAAAATAACCAATAATAGCAGCAACTTTTTATATTTCAAAATTATATTACTATAATATTATCACTAATGGTAACAAATATGTGTCTCCATCTTCTGCCCCAAGCTTAACTAATGATATTTTACCTCATTTTTATTATGTAAATTTTGTTTTCTCTATTTTAGAGCATTCATATAGTTTGATTTTTTTAGTCAACTTAGATGAACTTTTATTTCATACCAATTTCTTAAAAAAAAAATATGTAAAAAATTCTTGATTTTTTACTTGTTTTAAAATGTGAAATCAATTATGGGAGAAAAGAAATATGAGTACACAATGAAGAATGAAACAAAAAAAAGCAAAAAATGAAACGAACAAAATATTAAGAAAACGAAAAAGGAAAACAAAATAGTGAAAAAAAATTTTGCAACTCCCTGGCAGGGTGTCGGACACAGGACCTGTTTTATGGCTAAACTGGGCGCATACCATTCTGTCTATCTGTCTAATTTCATTTAATGCACGTTTTTTTTGTAATACAGTAAGCGTCAAAGGTAATATGCACCTAAATATATTTAAATATATAAAAAAATTACAAAATTTCCGTGGGTCACCCCGTGTGACCCTACATGGGTCCGCCCCTGAGTACTCCCCCCGTCCCATAATTTTGTTCTCTGTTTGACTCTACTTGCTTTTGAATAAAGTAAAACTTGTTCAATTGACATCTATTAAGAAGGGAGAGAAGTAATATTAGCCATATACTCTTTCCCTAAAAACTTGTGTGTGTGTTTTTGTCATCCCCTCGAACTTTTGTGCTTCCTTGCACGATAATATTATGCTACTATTTGAGTGTTTGAGGGACTAGAAATCCAGTTGGTTTGTGGTTCATTGTTGGTGATATGTTGTGGTTTCGTGCTTACTGTCTTTCTCACTTTAGATAGACAAGTATGAATTTTTCTTGTGATTATGTGCATTTCTGGTTCTGCTGTCAATATTTTGGCTTTTGTGGTTGGTGATACCTAGCTTGATTGATCATGAATGTTTACTTGATATCTCTTTTTTGGGAAAACTGCAGTATTTCTGAGGTTTCACTACTAATCCCATCAGATTGTTGATGTAGTTAGCTATTTTTATATCTCGAAGGGTACAATTATCATAAGACCCGTAGAGTGATCAAAATCAAACTATTTAGACCTCCCTTGACATTGCAATTTCTAGTAAGAAATTAAAAGTCCTGAAAATCAGCGGTTCATTTATTTTATTTTGTGGGCAAGTTGTTACCACTTTTATGGAAACACGATTAGTATTTTTTAGGCATAGTTTGTTGAATTTTAGTAGATTTGCTTTCAATCATAAAAATTAATTTACAGTGAATTTAGCAATTTTCATTTTTAACACTAAAATTCACTAACTAAATACAACAAATAGGGCTCAAGGGTCACTTGACAATCTAAATATGATATTTATTCTAACCTATATAACGGTAGCTGTACTCCCTTCTCATGCTGTTGCTTCTTAAATACTCGACAATTCATTGTTCTGGCTTGTTGAGATGGCTGTGGATAATTCCTATTTGCCCAACAATTCATGCTCAATTGCATCTAATGTAAATTTTAATTACTGTTTGTAGGGCCAGCTGGCATCGACTTTTCCTATTGAGAACCGAAATGTTCATGTTACAATGAGGGCGCTGAAAAATCATTTTGATCAAACAAAGAGTCTCCCATTTGTGAAGCGCATTTCAGATTTTCATCTACTGCTCTTGTTAGGGCGGTTTTTGGACATCAATGCCGATGTCCCTGCATTAGCTGAATGCGTGAAAACACAGTCACCCGTCCCAGAGGGTTACCAGCTCCTTATACAGTCCATGGCTAGTGTTTCTTAAGCCACTCAATCAATCAAGAAATGTGTGGATATGAGATTATTGGTTGTGCTGATGAAAAGCCTGAAATATTTGAATCTGCTTAAGGGGGCTTTGACAAAAGCCAATCCAAACCTCATTTCATATATCCACAGTGGGAGGGTATGCTCCCTCGGATAATGGTTTATGCTTTTGCACATTTGCATCTTAAATTCTATACAAAGCTTCTGCTTACTTGGATATCCTTTAACTCAGCATTTCTTTTCTATTACTGGGAGTATTACTCTTGTCCTAATCATAATCTTTCACGCAATTATGTGGAACCATTGGTATCGACATGGTGAGCCAAGCGGGAACCCTTTTAGGCAACATTCTCTTCATTTCTGTCCTTCACTTGGTTAAGTCTTGGTGTAATTTTACTCTTTATTTTTTTGTTAAATCATACACATTGACGAAACCCAAAATGGATCACTTACATAACTAGACTATAAGATCAAAAATGTAAAATTTCTAAATTAAGAAGTAAACTCGAACTTAAAAATGCTAATGTATAAAAATTGAATATGTTGTAGGGAGAAGAAATTTTCACCTTTTTAATGCTATAGATTCTATTGTTTATACTATTCTCAATCAAATAACATACAAACATCCAACATCTTTGCTATGTTGGGGCTTGAATTTTAGTGAATTTTTTTCATGGATCATTACCAAGCATCCCTATAAGTTGTATGGATCATGATTTTACAAGTGCTCAATTTGCCAATAATATGCCTCTACATAAAAAATTCCTTAAAAAAGTTATAGTTTTATACATGATACATATTTAATAAATTACTTAATACTCCCTCTGTCCTAGAGTATTTATCCACTTTTATTTTCACACACCATCCAAAAGGCTAGATTTTATTCTTATTTCTTTTACCAAGGTACATTCTCACTTGTGTTTGTCTAAAAGGTGACCTTTGTTTGGAACTGAAATTTTCATTGTTCCACCCATTAAGAGGAGACCACATGCTTAAGAAAGAATTTTGAGACATTTGATGATTTTATAGCCTATTTGAGAAGTTTATTTTTTGGAATGAAGTTCACATCATTATGCTCGAGTATATAGTACATGCTTCATGATCTCTTCAACCTTTCATTAAATGGCTAGATATTAAAAATATTTATAATGGATGGATTTGACATAAAGTCACTTTTTCCCAAATCTACTTTATGGAGCCACTCAATTTTCTCTTTCCCCTATGCAACTTTATGGAACCACTAAATTGAATAGGCATAAAGCAATTTTATTGAGCCCAACACCACGCCAGGCCTAAACCCGAACCACAAAGCAGGCCCAAACCTGTGTTATCCATTGCCATGCCCAAACCAAATCCACCAAACCTTTACTTTAGGCGGGAACACTGTTCAAAATCATATCCTAGCATTGTATATAGTAAGATAATAGATATGCTTTCCAGGCCCTATTCGTTGATGTAAACATCAAGGAGAGGTGTGAATATGAAATAAAGTAGAGCACCCACATTAAACAATATACTCTATCTGCCCTAATTTAAGTTATTTATTTACTATTCTTAACCACGTTCTTTACCTTTTTGACAAAATAATATAGTCTTGTCAACTCTTACTTTATAAATCTTTTGATGTAGATTTTAAATATATAAATTTTATTTTTGAGTTTCATACCAAAAATGACCTGTGAAACAAGTGGCGGATCCAGGAAATCTTTTCACTAGGGGCACAATTGGTCAACACAAATCAAACAAATGTAATAAGAATAATTTAAAATTAACTAAAAGTAAAATGTGTAATTGACTGAAACATAGATTTTATAATTGTTCTCTACGAGGTTTCATTTTTGAAAGCGGACAATTACATCTTCGTTTGTAACCTTAAAATACACTTCTTTTTTCATAGCACAAATTACACAAGCGTTAAGAAACTCGTCTCTAATTCAAATGTATAAATCAGTCTTCACATGCTTCATTGTAGAAAAGCATCTCTCAATTGTGGTTGTTGAAGAGGTAGCATTGTGATTAAATATATTAACATTGCTAGAAGAACCAGAAGCTGATGTTGGCAAGTCTTTTTGTTTAAAAAACTTCTCCATTTTCCTATATATTTATACATATATAATAAACCTCAATTTTAGTATAGGTCAATACAATCTATTAGGGTCTGTTCTTTAGGGCTTGAACTCTTAACTTCCAGTTTCTTCCAATTCCTTCCAGTTTTTTCCAGTTTTTTCTAGTTTCTTCCAGTTTCTTCCAGTTCCTTCTAGTTTCTTCTAGTTCCTTCTAGTTTCTTCTAGTTTCTTCGAGTTTCTTCCAGCTTCTTTAAAAAATTATAGAAATTATATATTAATAATCTATATGTTAAGACAAATCGAACAAGATCACACATGACTATATTTAGACTTACACATTGAGAATATTTGATGAGTCAAAGTTCTTAGATGAACAGTTCCAAAAGTCAAAACTGGACGAATACTACGGGACGGAGGTAGTACATGCTCTATCTACACGATTTCATAGTTCTTATAAATTATAGTTTATTCAATACTCCTTGTGATGAGTTGTAGTTGTATGTCTACTTGCTTCATCACAACCTCGTCAACTAATTTTTTTTTGTGAAAAATGACATTCAACGAAAGAGAGAGTACAACTTGTAGGAAAATATGGAAGATTTTTTTTCATTGAGTCTAATCTTCAATTTTGATGCATACATCAATCAATAATATTTACATATATCATTGTTGCCAAACAACAAAAATCGTGTGGAAAATTAAATTTTGTCTAAACTAAAAGAGTTACTCATTCTGTCACAGTTTACCTATTTGATGTGGTTCACCTCTCGTTAACCACTAGGCCATTTACATTGTTGTGGTTCACGTCTCGTAAACAAAAAGAGTTACTCATTGTCTCAGTTTCACACACTCGCAGATCCATTCTCTAGTTAGGGGGGGCAATTGCCCCTGGTCAAATTCTATAGCTTACCCACCATATATTCTATACATTAAAAGCCAAACAACACAAAATATTCACACCCCTGATTTTCCTCTTTGATGGCCGAATATAAACCCTCACCCACCATATATTTCACCACACAACCAACCAAATAATCCTCCCATCAAACCACCCCTTTGTTTCCCTAATATGGCCAAAACCATCACATTAAAACCTCATCAAAATTATCCTCAATATTCCCACACACCCCCTTTGTCTCTCAATATGGCCGAAAACATCAAAACCAAATTCCCCCTCATCCTTGATTTTCATTCCATAAAATAATGTGATCAATTGGGTTTAACCTTGGACAAAAATGAGGATCAAAAAGATAAACCTTGTGTGTTGTTTTCTACTCTTTTTGTTCCTTTCATTAAATAAGACCTTCCCCTTATTTTTCCTACACCTTCTCCACGAAATTCCAGCCCCTTTTTGTTCCTAAAATCCAACAAAATCACCACTTACCACAAAGGAACAAAAATCAATCAAAATTTATAAAGTGGAATAGTGATTTCTTGTCTTTTCTTGACTATTTCCACACCATACCATTTAATGACCTTTCTTGGTTCCTTCTTGCACTATAGGCCGAAATATACTCCTCAAAATAAGCCAAGGAATGCTTCATCACAGCCACATAATGTCCTGGACTTAATCCACATATGGCCGAAATCCTTATGCAAGAAAAGGCCAAACAAATCCCCTTCCATTGTTCTTAAAGTTAGCACATTTGGATTGTAATAGTTTAGTGTTAATCATGTGGTAGAAAGCTGCCTTGAAAGTGTTGTATTTCCCCTATAAATATTTGGTCTCATGGCCATTGTAAAACCACATTATTGAATGAAAAGTTTGTGTTACTCTTTGAGTAATTTCATTAAAATAGTGTGAAGCTATTTTAACCAAATTTCCTAATGAAATATCTCTAAAGTTGGCTACTTTTGAGTGCGTGTTAGGAGTCTATTTTATACATTAGTACTGATTATTATTGTGTGAAATAGATAACAGCCCCAAGTATAGTAAGAGTGTGTTTATCTCTTATTCATTATTTGGTTTATCCATCCTTGTTTTCTACCCATTTCGTTTTTCTCCATTTTCTCTTCCTAAACCACATTCTATTCTATCTTCACATATCAAAATACCAAAAAAGAACTCCTTCATCACCTCCATTTTCCACCCAGCCATTTCAAACTATCGATTATGACTCAAGTAATAATCGACTATCGGACATCTCTGAACATTCGTGGTTTCAAAGTCATATCTTGTTAATCGATTATTAGAGAATGATAATCGACTATCACAAGCTTCTGAACTTTGTATTTCAAAGTTGTTTCCTTCTTGCTTCCATTTCCTTCGTAAATCCACCATCAAATTAATTACTTGATAAGACCCCGGGTCTCGGGTACAACATCTGGTATCAGAGCTATATTCGAATTGTTTCTTAAGTGTTGGGAAAAATATCATAGATTTTGATGATGATGTATTTAGAATGTAATAGGGACTTTAGGTCTCCCCCAATATTCAATGTAATTTTTTCTTTTTAGAAATATTGTTAAAACCAAGTTCTTGAGATTTCCAATAAGGTTATGATATTTCTTTAAGCGTTTTGATGCCTGAAGACTTAATCAAACTCAGTGATATGGAAATTGGATATCTTAATCGAAAATGCTAGAGACAAGTAAGGATTTCTCAAGAAGATGAAAATCCTCTGATCCGGAAGACTACATAAGAACCGGATGTCTCGCTACAACCCGCTGAAGGCTAAGTCACCCAAATCGGAAGACTAGCGCGGATCTCTTTCTCACCCGGAAGTCTGAGAATGACTCCTCCGGATTTGTCAGCTAAGAACCGGATGCCTCAAGGAAGACCGGAATTCTCAAATAGCGGAGAAGTGAGAAAAGACATAGAAGATTATCTAAGTCTTGAATGAAGAAATTCTACCCGTTGGTAAGGAAAAATCAATCTCTTGATTTTCAACGGCTAGATTGAAGATAATTATGCTGATTCAAGAACAAATGACTCGAAGACAAAGTCTGAACCTCTAAGAATTGAAGAACCTGTCCAGAATTCCTAAACAAGCACTAGAAGACAAACAGAGTAAAGTTCTACAGTCCAGAATACTTGAACAGCAGCTAGAAGACGGACTCTAT